TCGTGTATGAACTAACTTTATACAAGTGTAGGAAGAACAAAGAATGCAGAGTTTATGTAATGGTACTTGATTGATAGAAACTCTGATTGCTAACATTCAATACAAGGAAAAATATTATCTGGAACACACATGAGTGAAGAAGTTATTATTCCAAGACTATCATTGACATCATCTGATGCAAGAATTCCATTCAAGTTTCAATGAAGACAATTCCCCGTAATTACTTCATATGCAATGACGATTAATAAGAGTTAGGGTCAATCTCTAAAACACGTAAAATTATTGTTACAGAAGCTGGTATTTTGTCATGGACAACTATATGTTGCATTTTTAAGAGTAACAAATCATAATGGCTTGAAGATTTTGATATACAACTGCAACACCGAGGATGTTCCCACAAATTCTACCACTAATGTAGTTTATAAAGAAGTTTTTCAGTATTTGCAATTAATTTAATATTCATGTTTTAAAATATTGAAAAAACTTTATATGCTATTATATAACCAATTTCTATTCTTCAATAATGACAACAATATAATTTCATAACATAATTACGAGCCGTGCAACGCATGGGTGTGATACTAGCATACTTTATTAGGGGTTAGGGCCTTAATTGAGCCTCTCAATTGAACTCATGTACGAGCTAACTTTATACAGGTGTAGGAAGAACAAAGAATGCAAAGGAGTAATAATCTAAAACGAATGTTATGGTCTCTACAGTCTCTAGAGTACTCTTCCATTGTTTCATTTTAGATAGCCCAGGAGAATTCCAGAAGAAAGCCAGACATGGAGATAGACACAATTTGAGTTGATGGAACCCACTGACTCTTGCTAAGTCGCCCAGTGCTTTTGCTAGATTTTTATTCTTTTTTATCTTCTTAAATTCAAATACGGCAAGTGCTTTAAAAAAGCTTCATAAAGTAAGACATAAAACATTGGTTGTGCTTGTTGCCTTGTTAAGAAGCGATCAGTCAGCTACATCCCCCATATAGGTAGTTTTGGCTTTTTGATATATTCTCTAATCCTCTTCCCTTGTGCCTCTAAAAGAATATGTAGTTAAATCTATTTATTTATTAGTAGGTATTTCTTGACATAGTTTCTCTATCTTAATTAGTGAAGCTGATTCCAGCCAAGTTTTGGATTTAAGATTGATAGGTTCTAGTGTTTTAGACTAAAAGTTAAGTGATATCAATTGCCTATTTGGTAAGGGTGGAATTTCACTGGAATAACTAAACTGGCTAAGAGTTTTCACTGAAAATGTGGTTGGAACTCCTGAATTATTTTTAACAAGACATGAGGCTTCCAGTGCTTATTGATGACATGACCCTAGGATTAAACTATTAAAGTTGTAAGGTAGTTAGGTTCCCGTGAGTTTCCTGCTCTTGCTCTGGGCACGTAAGAGTCTAGGGGTTAGCTAGATATTGTGCGGCGTTTGCATTGTGGCCCTTTCACCACTTCCTCGTATTTGTTTTTTTGTTTACCTTTATTTTCTTTTGTTGGACTTTCCTAACCAATATTTTTTGCCAATCCGAGATTGAGTTCTTTTTAGAAACAATCTATCTTCTATATGTAGGGGTATGATTTTTTACATCCATCTCCCAGGCCCCACTTGTGGGACTGAGTAGGATGTTATACTTTAAATAGTATAGTATGGAAAAATACTTCTGGTAAGAACCTGTTTACTTCAACTTATTTTTATAACTTTTTGCTTATTCTTATTGAAATTAGATCAAACCAGATCAGATTAGAAACATCTTTAACTTTAACGAGAATGAGACCAGATCAATTCAAATAAGATTCAATCAGATTAGACAAAGAGAACATACCCTAAGTATCATTTACTTTCTGTTGGTCATTTCAGCTAAAACATTTCTTCCGTAATAATGTTTCTTATTAAAATTGAACAGTCAATGAAAAGTTACTGAGTGGTAGAACATTTCTGTCACAAGTGATAGGAAGAATTTAAGCTACCAAATGGGCACTAGAAGTGATGTAGAATTTGCACAGTAAAATTGATAAGGGATTTTAAGTAACTGTTCAATACGACTTTCTTGATGCTTAAAAGTTGAATGAATGTGGACATACATCATGCCCACATTCATTCCTTTTTAATTAATGTATCGAGAAAGTCAAAACATATAATTAAAAGAGAACGGAGGTAGTATCAAGTTACGCTCAAAGTGTTTTTTTTACAAAATCTCAACAATAAGTGTCCAGTACCAGTTTCTTTCATATAAAAAGATTACAGGAGAATAAATGCAGTTGTCATTTGAATTCCCGAGCATCAACATCTTTTCTTTTATAGTTAATTTTTTTGCTCTCTTGGTTGAACAGGTATTTAATAGCATCCCACACAACAGATTACCAACACCCGATGCTGTTTCTCAACACGGTGGCAGTTTTTGTACTGGTTGTCGCCAAGTTTCCACACATGCACAAAGTTCGCATCTTTGGGATTAATGCAGATCAGTGAGTAACCCACCCGAATTCTGCTATAAAAAATTTATGATATCCGAAATTGTTCTCGCACTGCTGTGCTGATCATTTCAGTCTTCCAGAACAAAGTGAATATGCCCCCATGTACATATGCGTGTTTAAACTGAGCAAGGGTCTGTAAAATTCAAAGGTTCTCTCGTGGGACGTTCTTTAAAAACGACTTCTACTTGTAGGCTTGTAGCTACCCAACTGTTGAAAGATTAAACTCAAACTATATGATAAATTTTATGATAAATTTTAAGGTCAAACTCCACAGTCATACTCGTGATAATACGTCAACTGATTTACATATTAAAAAATATGAAAATGTGTCACCAAGGCGAACAAAAAACAGAAAACTGATTCTCACATGCTAGGGTACGCGCTCAAGTCTCCATCCCAATAGCTCGAGCGTTTCAACTTATTGCCCGATGATTCTCGTGTTTAGGCAAACCAACGAGGAGGGTACTGTATATTTTTTAGACAAGAGGTACTACATACTTTGAAATTACCATGTTGTCGCATAGTACTTTGAAAACGTCTAAGGTTTGCGTAAGACTTATGACGGTGTGACCCAACTTGTAGTTTATATCTGAATAGACAAACCTTCTCCTCAGTCTCTCGGATGGCCGGGTCCCTCAAGCTTCAGCTCGCTCAATTCGATCTAACAAACTAGGGTTCTACATTATCTCTCGCATTGTGCCTCATGTGGTGCCATTTGAATACTAACCTAATAATTATTGTTGTAAGCAAACTCCATCAATGGAAAATATCACTACAACTATCACTGAAATGCGACACTATGAATTATTTTTTGATAATCATTGTAGTTTTTGTATTGAACTTTTCTTGGATGTCTTTTCCAGAATGGAGGACTAGAAATTACTTTTCGGATAACCTCATATATTTTTCTTAGAAGTGACAAGAAAATTTTATTTTATCAAATAATCAATGAAAATATATAAATAAACACAAATTATTGAGATGAGAGAAAAAGTAAAATTGTAATAAAAAATGGGACGGAGTGAATACTATAAAGTTGTGAACCGTTACATTTTTAAAACACACAAAAAATGTAGTGTTATATTTTTAAACGCATTATTTTATTTTATGAGAAATAGAATTTATGTTAATTAATGGGTCTTCCCCGAGGAATCAGGGATCCCACACGACACGGAGAAAATGTACTCTTGTGTCGTAATGAAGAAAAGTGTATCAATAATGTTTTAAACAATAACTAATATTATAGTACGGAGTTATAATAAGAATAAATAATAAATATTATAGTACGAAGTATAATATAATACCAAAAAATAAGATTTGGGCCCCTCCAAAAATGAGCCCGTTCCAGGTGACCACCCGCACATGTCTTGAGCCGCCCTTAACCTTAAACAATCTCAACTTCTATTTCATTGCGCAAAATAGGTTTTTTCAAAATTCATTAGATCACCATTACCTCTCTAAGGGCAATCCAAAACACGTGCATAGACAAATAAAAATGTGGGATTATTACACATAATTTTGAAAGATAAGATTATTGGTGGATGATTTCATATAATTTTCACATTTTAAAAAGTCAAAACAAACCAATAAGAATGAAACACTATTAAGGAGTAATCCTTCCATCCCAGTGTAATCGTTCGATTTTACTTTTTTGAGTCAAACTGGACGAATTTTAATCATCAATTACTCTTAAGTTGTGTTGTATATCAATACAATAAATTAAAATTTTAAAAGTTCTCAACAAGATAAATCTAATTAAATAATTTTTATACAAAAATACTTTACCATTTTTATTTAATTGAGGTCTAAAGTTCGTCCAGTTTGGCACGAAAAAGTCAAATTGGACGAATACACTAGAACGAAAGTAGTATATTTTTGGGAAACAGACTAAAATATGAGTAAAACATTGAACTTATATCAAAATAGGAGTTTCATGATTTTATTTTTAAAATAGGAGTTAAAATGAATTTATATTAACAATTATGACCATGTACATTGCAAAAAAAATACATATGTATAGTGCCACATTACCACAGTGCGAATTTCTATTTAGGAAATAAAAACATTGAATTCTATTTTGATACTCCCTCCGTCCCCAATTAGATTACAATATTCTTTCTTATTTTTGTCCCAAAAAGGATTACAAAGTGTTTACTTTTACACTAAATGGACTCTTTTACCCTCCCTCCCCTTTATCATTTCAATGTCAAATCTCACCCACCCACCATTCCTATACTATTTGGGGGTAATTTGGGGAAAAAAAATACTGATTTGACTTTTCCTTAATTTTGTCTAAAAGGGAATATTGTAATATAAAAGGGGACGGAGGGAGTATTTTCTTTATGTTTTTTTTGTAAAGAGTGAAACACTATTTTTAAAACAAAAGAATACTCGGGAGTCGGTATACAGTACAAGGCAAACCCCCGCCCCACTATCTTCTTCTTCTTCTCTCTCTCTCTCTTGATAGTCCATTCACACATGACAGTGATGACACATAAAGCACCTTAGAACGTCCACAAACAAACCCTCCCAAACATTCCGTTTCCTGCTTTTTAACCCACTAGTGACCAAAAAAGCTGCTCTTCCTCTTCTTTTCAAGAAAAAAATTATTATTATTATTCTCCCCCATTAATTCTTCTACTTTGTACTACTACTTTCACCATCTAATCTAATCTAATCTCCCTCTTCATCCAATCCATGGATCTTGCTCAATGGCCTCAGGTACATATATATATATATATATATATATATATATATATATATATATATATCTTATCATCATGCACTTTTAGCTGGCAGCATATATATGGAGATACATAGCTAGCTAGATCCATATCATATCATTATTATTAGTTCATTTGTTGTTTAATTTCTTCTTTATTTGTTAAGTGATGGAAAAAGTTGATTTATAGATGAAGAAAAGTGATGGGTTTTTGTTAATGGATCCTTTTTCTCTTTTTGTTAGAATGAAAAAAAGTATAAAGCAAACAACTTTATCAGTTGATTTTTTTGGGCTGTGTTCTTTTTTTTTTCTTTCTAAAGTTTAATTTCCTCCTACTAATTATACCTTTCCTGAAATTATTCCATCTTCTGTGATTGATGTATGGAGTTTGATGATGATGATGATGAAAAACTGCTTTTGTTTTTGTCTCTAGGAGATAGTGGTGAAGCAAATGGAAGAAATAGTGCCAAAGAATCCCATTAATAATAATAATACAGCACCAGGAAAGCCATCTTCAACAACTAGTGCTAATTGTGGTGGTGGAACAATAGAGAGAAAGATTAGGCCACAAAAGGATGAGCCAGTGAACTGCCCAAGATGCAACTCCACCAACACCAAGTTCTGCTACTACAACAACTACAGCCTGTCACAGCCCAGGTACTTCTGCAAGACCTGCCGCCGCTACTGGACCGAAGGCGGGTCTCTGAGGAATATTCCGGTGGGCGGCGGGTCAAGGAAGAACAGGCTCATCAGGTCTTCTTCTATTGACCACCACCAAGTTGTAGTGATGAATAACAATAGTAAGAAGATGAACCTGCCGCAGCAGCAGCAGTTCCCTTCTGCTGCAACCGCTGCTGCTGCGGCAGATCTGATGCTGTCGTCGCGTCTCCCCCTCCCACTCCCACTCCCACTCCCACTCCATCCAAACCCTAACAAGCCAACAACAACTACATCAATCCAACAAGATCTCAACTTGAGCTTCTCATCTCATCACCATCACCATCACCATCACCACCACCAAGACTTGAAGACCATAGCTGAGCTGATCCAAGTGCCAAACTACGAGCGCAACGACAGCGACAAGGAAGGGAACGACAACAACAACAACAACAACAACAATCCGGTGGCCGGTCAACTCTCAGCTATGGAGATGTTGAGTGTTGGGATGCCCACATCATCACCATCATCAACAAGGGGAGGGATGATGATGATGAGCTCATTCCTCCCCATGCCAATTCCTGACCCCAATACTTCATCAGTCTACTCATCATCTTTCTCTCTCCCAGAATACAAGCCAACCCTAAACTTCTCATTCACCTTGGATGGGATGAATGGGAATAATGATGATCATGGAGGGTATAATGGTCATCATCATCATCATCTTCTCCAAGGCATGCAGGAGACAAGTACTAGTGGGAGGCTTTTCTTCCCTTTTGAGGATTTGAAAAGTGGAACAAATGCAGCAGGTGGTGATCATAGCAATGGGGCTGATGAGCAAGACAGAGACCACCACCCAGCAGCAGGATTCTGCTGGAATGGAGTCTTGGGAGCTGGAGGTGCTTCTTGGTAAATTTTATACTCCATCCATTTGTGAAAAAAAAAACTTGATTTTAATCTCTTTCTTTCTTTTTTTCTTTTCTTTTTGTTATTGGGAAGGGGAATTTTTTATTCTTCACTGTTTTCTTTCTAGTCATTATTGTTTCATGTGTGGGTTTCTTGGATGAAAAACTAACATATAATTACATATAATTATATATAAGACAATGTGTTCTCTCATCATTTTTCTTTGTGTATTAGACAAATTATACTCACAACTCATCAATGTCTATCAGCTTTTGTGTATATCAAATTAGATTAGTGTTACTCCCTCCGTCCTAAAATTAACTTTCCAGTTTGACTTTCGTGATCAAACTTTTGAACTTTGACGGTATATTACGAAAAATATATATTAAATTTTTATATAAATTTAAAATGAATAGATTATTTTAAAAACATAATTTTGAAATATTATATTCTTATAATATATACTCGTATTTATATATAAATATATAGATATATTAATGATCAAAATATTGCATTCGAGATCGTGAAATGAGGACTTAATTTAAGAAGGGAGTGACAAATGTGCATGTTCTAAGTATCTGCAAAAAATTAGGTATGTATTTTTCTGTTGTTTCATTATGAAAATTAATTCTCTTATCCTTTCACGAACTAGCTACAAGTGTTATTAGCAAAAAGATAAAAAGTTCTTTTCCTGAGAGGAAATTAGCATTGGATGATTATAAGATGTCCTTACGGTAATTTCATCATATGCGTTTCTATGTGAAAGAAATAGATATATACGCCGATCCCTATATAGAAAATGTATATACATGCCGACATTGTCGAGTATATAATAAACGCTGTAAAACCAAACATATTTAGTAATAATATATCTTAGCTTGAACTTTGTGTTTTATATTGGTTGTGACTATATATACTTGGTTTTGAACTAAAATCCTAAATCTCTTTACTGGAGAAAAAGAAATTAAAAGAGCACTCAACCAAAATAGGGAGTGCAAGACTATGCTCTTTATACATCTCTACGCTCTTTAAGTAATCAAACATCATTAACCGAGCAAGAGCTTCATTATATAGCCTTTGAGATTTGATCGATCAATAGTGGCAAATCTAGAACATAATCGTAGTGATCGGGGACACATATTTATTAGACGGAAACATATTTATATGGGATTGACTTCGTTGAGATGAAACATTATGGTAAGATGACATGCTACGGTCAGATGACATATAACTCACCACTGATCACTGCAAAGCTCCTCAAAGACAACTGCGAAACTCACCAAATTGTATGAAAAAGCTCACCATAATTTTTCACACTTTGATTTTTTTTAAATTTAAAGTTTCAGTGCTCACGAACCCTAACCAAAAAGCTCACCATTCTTTAATGCAAATCTCACTAAATATACCACTACACGAATTTGTTCCATCTGCAATGGCGAGTTTCCATCGCAGATTTTAGAAAACCGTAGCACATCCATAATCAGCGATGGTATTGCGGCACTTTTGTTCCATCACAAATCTGTCGTCGCCCGCTTGTTATCTACGACAGACTTTCCGCTCCTGTCTCAAGTCAGTGACAGATCTGCGAGGGTAAACGAAAGGCGAAAATTTGTTTATGTCTGCGACGAACTACGATTTTCCGTTGCTATATACTCCCTCTGTCCCAAAAAGTCTTTCTTGTTTCATTTTTTGCGCATCCCATAAAACACTTCTACCGACATCTAAAATGCCTAAAATTTACAATATTTCTTCTTTATTGTGGGTAGAAGTTATTTTGAAAGTTTTTTTGGCATTCAGGGCGGGATAGAAGTGTTTTACACTATAAAAAAACGCGGAATTGGCACAGCTTTTTGGCACAGACTGTAGTTTAAGTTTTCCGTGACTAAGGTATTAGGCACGGATTTTGGCACGGACACGAAACACTGCCAATTTCGAAGCTCCAAACCGTATGACACGGAAATCCAGTCCGTGCCAAATATAGAGACGGCGTCACTCGTGACAAAATCGTTCCAAACTGACATTTGTAAGAAAAACATTAAAGATATTAGGCACGGATATGTCCGTGTCAAAATTGTGTTCTTACAAATATAACATAAGTCACGGATATATCCGTGCCTTTATTTTGAAAATTTTCAAAATATTCAAAAAATTTCAAAAAATTCACATACGCGGGGATATTATATTTCGAAATTCAAATATTTTGCCACGGACATATCCGTTCCATGGATTTTAAAAAATAAAAAAAATATTTTTTGTCACTTATTTATCCGTGCCTTAGATTTCGAAAAATTAAAAAAAACAATTTTGAAAATAAAAAAGTAATAATACATAACAGGCCATAATTCAAATACGGAATAAAACACTCACAGCATAATAATGTAGATTAATAAAAGTAATATCCATAATGAAAGTAATGTCTAGCATCCAAATGAAGATCATCACAGACAAATGTTAATGATGAATAATTACAGATTTTCATTGTTTAGAAAACTGTTAACATCACAGTTATTTGAATTGTATCCTTCCGGTTGAACGTTTGGCATTTGGGGGAGGACCGTAGGTTGTTGAAAAACAGGCATGGGAGAAGGCAAAACCCACGGGAATTAAAGGTGCTCCTCATGACTTTGTCTGTGTCCGCCGGCAAAACCCCGAGCAACCATGTGTAACAAAGCTATAAATGTAATAAAAAATAAATTAGTATTGAAATAAATTAGTATTGTGTTTAGGACAACTTGTTGGCTGGAAAAAAAATTAAAAAAATTAAAAAATCATACAAATAATATATGAGATAATAAAAAACAAAAAAATTACCCCTTCAATTCGGCCTTAGTGATCAAGCGCGGAAGATCCCTTACCGCGAATGCTACCGCGGAAGGAAGTGCTCCTTGCTGAAGACATTGAAAGGAGAAGGGGTTATGCGGGAGGAGGGCGGAGGAGGGATGAGGGATGGCGGCGAAGAAAGAGATAAGAGGAGGAGAGTGGTTAATGAAAAAACGAGAAAAAATATGTAAGGGGTGGTAATATAATTAAACCGTAGGCACGGACGTAAGCACGTCCCCAACCGTGCCTATACCGTGCATTAAATATCGGATTCTTGGGTAATGGTGTAGGCACGGCCGTTGTCGTGCCAAATTTCAATATCTCTGCGTGTGTCAGGCTTTTTGTGCGAGATCCATTCTAGGCACGGCTTTTTCCATGCCTACTAGAGGGCATTAAACACGACAGTTTTGGTAATTGCATAGGCACGGCCCTGTCCGTGCCAAACAAAATGAACTCTTCGTTTGTAGGGGTGCATTAATAGCATGTCATAAAACGAATTTATTGGGCTTTTATGTAGGCACGGCGGTTTCCGTGCCAAACTAAATGCCTCTGCAAGTGTGTCAGGCTTTTGTCTAGGATCGAAATTAGGCACGGCTATTTCCATGACA